GCGATCTTCCGGATTCACTCTGTTTTGATGTACCGAAGGCTATTTACAATGCTACCAGGGTACAGTTTTCCAAAAATGTTTTAATTTCCTCAAAATTGCCAAAAGTGGGGTACCACAGTATTTTGCTAAGAAATAATACTTGCAATGATTTTTGTATCTTTCGGATTTTATTGTAATTATAGCCATGCATAGTACTATAAGTATGAGAAATTTTTTAATTAATTTTGTTTGTAATCTTCTATATCATGTTCATACATATAAAATTGTAGTCTCATTGCATAACATAATTGTTAAATTCTTATTGATCTATGTGTCACATAGAAGCAAAGCATTGCTTTCCATTGAATAACAAAAAACATAAAAGCCTGGTCTAATTTGGTCAAAATTTTAAGCTTTTGAAATACATGAATGTTTATATTTAGAATTTGTAAAGTTGATCTCATTTTTAAAAAAGGTGCATATCATTTTGACAGAAAAAAAAAAATCTCAAAATTTCTGACAACATTATTGGAAATTCTAGATTTTATGTTGATGCTTTTTTTAAGTTTAGTATTTTGAAGTTTTTTCCTGCCAAGATTGATATGCAATTTTTGAAAAAAGCAGGAAAATTTTAAGTATTTTAAAATTAGATTCGTTTAATTTAAATATTTAGATCCAACTAGTCTAAGCATTTTTCTAAGTTTTTATATGAAATTGTTAGTAATTTTTTTCTTCTATGTGACAGGTAGTTTGTTAAGAATTTAACAATTATAATATGCAGTGAAAGTATGACTTTGTATTGATGAACAGTATACAGTTGATTTTGATTTGAATAAAATTCTCATATACATAAAAAAATAAATATTTTAATGAAATATTTTTTTGAAAATTAGATTTTTTTCTAAGATAATATTTAATAAAATATATTTTTACATAACTTAGAAGAATTGGATATAAATATTCTAAAGAATCAATAAAGTAAAAATATTTATATTTTTTAAAATATTCTTTAATTTTAATATAGTTTCGAATATCTGTTGGAGTGATGAGCTTTTTTTTTACTTTATTTAAAAAAGATGATATATTTTAATTTAAATTTTTAATTTAATTAATATATTTTACAGAAATTCCAACATTCATTAAGTTCTAAGTCCTGATCTAAAATTTTGAAGTTATTCACATTCTTTCATAAAATTGAACCCAAATTAAATCCTTGCAACAGAGTTTTGCTTCGTTTGTTAAGACTTTTAAATTCAAAATAATGATAATATTGTTAATATATTAAACACATCAATTATCCATAGAATAAAATTTCTATGTCACGATTCTTTTTTTGAATGTATACTGGTTTTTATTATTTTTATTCAATGAAAAATTCTACTCGAATTAAAAATTGGACCTTAAAATTTAGGATAAAAAGAAAATGTATTTAAATGGTTGTTATCAGTACAAATTGTAAGAACACAATTTTTTAAAATCTTAAATATTTATAAGTATTCAATAGCTATAAAATTGAATTTTTAAAATTTTTTTTTTCTAATCACTTTTTCATAATAATAACATCGTGAATATACCAAGAGCATCATCTTTCTACTTCCAAAAGCTCCGTCATTGTCTATGTGTTTCTTGAAGAGTCAAGGAGGTTGGAAAACTCTGAAGACAATTCTCGCTCCTAGATTTATCACAGATTGACCCAAAATGGAGAAGAGGGAAGACACTATAAATTGGCAGAACACGAGGTTGACTGTATTTGCAGTGGCTGCACTGTCCAGCGGGGAGACTGCCAGAGCAGTGAGCATTGTTCTCTACACAGACCAAAGATCTATAGTGACATCGGTATTTTATCCCAGCCTGGCCATCGGAACGTGCTGTACCATGAAGCCAGCCGATCCATGGAGATCGCGAGATCACAAGCATGCAGCGACATTCTTGCTTGCGTAGACAACTGATGCAGCACACTGAAAACACAGTCAAGTGGAAACTCTGCTTGCTTGACTGGAGGAAGAGGTCAGATAACTGCAGGCGTCGTCGTGTGCTCGGTGCGAGTTGTTGAGCATCACGTTGGACGGAAGATTGTTTGATGATAGTGGATGGTAATGTCGTGGGTTACAGAGCAGGTCCAATCCTGGGAATGTGGACTGTGTCAGTGCATCCACTTCGCACGAGCAGTTGGAACGAGGGTACTGAGAAGAGCTAGTGTATTTGGTTACCACTGCTCATAAGATGAAATTCTGATAAATCATGGCAAGACTCCAAAAGGCTCTCTTTCCCTTGCTTGTCGACAGAATGCTTTTGAATCTCTATCTCTACAGAAAACTGATATCCACTCCCTGAAGTTTTCCTTTTTTGTTTCCTCAGGATTCAGAATTCGTTTTCTCCAATTTTGGTACTATGGATGGCATATCAACATTGCGGCAACCTTGTATCAAATATTGCCGAAATACTCTGCCAAAACGTGTTGAGTGTAAATTTCCTCTTTCAATTTCAATATCAAGTTTTAACAGCCACAGAAACCGGCAGAAAGAAACTATAATGATTCTATTTATGTATAACTCACATTTCTATGAAATGCTGTACGTGGAGTTGTCGATTCTCCATGAAACCATATAGAGAATAATCAGTGGATATCCAACTGACGAAGATTGACAATTTGTGGCAGACATTTTAGCTGGAGTCTCACATGAACCATAAGATTGTGCAAGTTTCAAGAAGATGATCAGAAAGAGTCTCCTTGCGTGGGTCGCAACAGAACTACTACTTTTTTCGTATCAGATTCGATTGCAAGTTACGGGTATGTATAGAATGAATATTGCATGGTCGTAAAATTTCATCGAGTGTTTCTCGATCGACTTCGAACAACATCTACACGTAACCAGTACAATGTGAAAGGATCTCCTTGTTTTATGTCTCAACCTAAAGTTCAATCAAACAAAGATCATAGATCCTGATAAATGACTTTCTGCCGGAGAATATTTTACTCTCAATCAATAATTTCGACTAAGTGTGTTCCACCTTAAAATCTGAAGAATGAACTCAAAAGAGAGCTTCTTCAAGACTTGGTGGAAGTTTGTTCAGATCTGAATGTGCGGAACTCACTTTTCACCGCTCAAACACAGTTTCCAGTCTGGTTCATCAGCCGTCTATGTTAACAAGACTGTCTGTAAATTCTTGTCACTTCGTGCTTCGACGAACCCGCATGATGCATTGATGCACCTTCCCCTAGTACATCAGTCGCAATGTATTGTGAGTGCAACACATGGCTTCTAGTGTTATTCATTTTTATTAAGACCGACGAACTCAGTGTGAGTGAAGTGTACAGCAGGTTTCAATGGCGAGGATGGTGCAAAGTATGGACGCCCTGTCATATCTTTTGTGTCTCTAGAGAGCAATGTCCACTACTGTAACAATCTTCACGCTGGATGGGACGACTACTATAGTTGTTGCCTTGCTTCTGCGTTCTGCCATGATGATTGAATGTAAATTTGCCTGCTTTTCCTTGTTGTGTCGACTTGTACGACTTTCTAGGGTCGATTGACTCCTCGAAGTTAAGTTTGATTCGCGTCTGCCTCCGTAGTTAACAAGATCATTTATAAGTGACGACGGAGTAATGGGAAAAACTTAGATGCAACATCCATGTCTCGTCAGGCCGGTCAAATTGATGGCGCATGACATATAAGTTTGGTTAATAGGACAGAACAAAACATTATGAGCACATTTTTACTGAACCTCCTCCATCTGCCCCTTTGTTCATTCTCATCTTCATGAGCATATCACACTCTTGGAAAAACGAGGCTCCGTTATCTAGAATTGTTGAAACTTCCTGCGTCAAAACAGAAAAGAAATACTTGGTGCCGGCCAATCTGCGGATTGCATATGACTGGGCACTGATTAAATAAATAAGTATTCGAAACATCACTAGCCATGTTTAGGGATGTTCACGGCTCGGATAACGGCGAGCCGGCAAAAATTTGTTGCTACCCGGCTAGCCAATTATATAGCCTATGGCAAATCGGGTCTCAGATAAAAGAGCCGAAAACTAGGACCGAGTTTACATTTTCGGTCGATTATTGCGCCCGATTCGGCCGAAATTATTCAATTTAAATTGAAAATTTTATTTCGGCCGAATATTTCCGATGCTTTGCATTCTCGGCCAATAGCCGATTAGCGGACGGCTAGCCGAAAGTTAGCCGCCTACGTGCCCATGCCTAGCCATGTTCAAGAGGAAGGAGTTCCACGAGATACCTTGTCGATAGAGGCCATTCAGACCAGCAGAATGATATCAACCGGATGGTTGATGAAACGCAAAACGGTTCACTTATGAACACAGAATGGACCTGTCGGCGAAGATCAATGAATGCTTCATACAACAGGATCAAACAAGTCCATGAGAAGATTGCCACTACCATAATCTTGGCTTGAATCAAATGAGAATGAAGTGCTGTTCTTCTCATCTGGTCCAATAAAGCTAATTACTTGGCCCTCTCGCTTGTAATAAAGCTCAGAGGCACTTTGTGAAGAAGATAATAATTTCCTGGAGGTCGAGCCGGATTCAAATACTCAACTGGTGCCTCTCATTGGACTGGTATCAGGTCAGATGATAACGAATTGTCGTGACATCTCTGGATTAAATGCTCACCCTAGCAAAGCATTTCAGCATGCACATGCTCAGAGCATTGCATCAGATGTAATACAATCATACATAATTATATTTAAGATAATGAGTTGCAACTGAAATATGTATATCTGATGTGGAATACGTAAATTCCGTGTGTGCAGTCAGCTCTAAAACGCCAAGAAGCTTTAGCGATTAGGATCAAATATAGACCAAATTTACGCTCAGTGCTATCACAATTACATCCAGAATGAAGATCTTTCATACACATTTGGATAGATCTTGACTTACTAACAAACTGTGTTGAGTGGGTCTGCTTTTATGATCATTTATTCTGTTAACACTTCCCGCTTCTGTCTCATCTCATTATGAGTGCACAGATGATTAAGATCAAAACTGAGTGCTAGATGCTGATAACCGAGAGAAAGGTAGACCGAGAGATTCTGATTCAACTGTGAGGAGAATCGTAGATGTGTCTGTCGCTGTGGACATGCCGGCACATCTTCTGTACGGTTGTAACCATCTGAGATTCACTTGGGATACTTGTACCTTCTATCCGCCACGAGCCGCAAATTGAAGGCTAATCGTCGGGTGCTAAATGCGATTGGAGATAGTCTAGTTTGTCCGAAACCATACTGCTAAGAAGGTGCAATTTGCCTTGTCAATTTCGCGGATATTTGCTGAACGGCAAGACGAGAATTTTATATGATGCATGTCTAACCTCCGGTCTACGTGCGAAGGGCTCATGTTCCTCAATGAACAGACCTTCATGCCTGAATATCAACTATAACAACTCATACAGAAATTTGAAAGAAACCAGTTTGCTCATGGAAGGGCATTCGTGCGGACCAAACGAGAAGCGATAAAGCGCTCAAGATTACAGTCATACAGATCTAAACTTTACAGTCTCTTGAGAAAGGCAGTGGGACATTAGGGATAAGACATGAGTCAGATGACATCACTAATCCATTCCTGATGCATTCACATCACTAGTGGAAAAGCTGATTCTCGTCGTCAAGCATCGATGGATGTGGACAAGATCTTGACAAGATCTTGACGAGTGAGACATCAGTCCATTGAGGCAGTGAAGTAGCAAATCACCCTAGAGCAAAACTTAGGCCCCTTACCACTGTACTGTAGGTCACCGGGACACTTCCCTCAGTCGAATACGTAATTTGTCTTCATCGGGTATGGCGGCTGACTATACTGCAGTCGCTGTAGTACTTACTGTGTCCCCGCAATTTAGCGCGAGGCTGAGCAGCCCACCGTTATGGCTTCTCCATCATACTTGTCTATTTCTCCGCAATCGACGAGCTGAATCTTTCCTGCACGGAGGCTCTTCTTCTCGCTGAGTTTTGTGGCGATTGGCGGAAGGAAATGAGGTATGTCGGGTGAATGTAGAATCAAGCGAGGCTCCCTGAACGAATTCCCCTGAAGACAAGCTGTCCGAGGTTGCAACATATGATTGCGGAGATGCGAACGATCGGCTGCCACATGAACAGCTTACGTGAGATCTTGTGCACGAGAGAGATGGGTTCCGTCGAGGAACAAGAATCGCTTGAGGGCGAAGGAGGAGAAGCGCATGGATGCAGAGAAGCAGCAGTGCCTGAAAAGGTGGAGAGCATGGGATTTGGTCCTGAATCTCCAACTTGTACAGGAAGTGACCCACGACGAGTTTGACTCAGTCTCTTTGATGCAAATCCACGAAAGTCTTTAAACTTTGGCATGTTCAAATAATTGAGGCTCGAAAGCAAAGGCGTATTTTGTCCCGGTGCTGCAGATTGGTAAATTTAGATATTCTCATTTAATGAAAGATCATTGAACGATTTGACTTCGATACTATCATTACATTGTATTAAATTTGATAAATACTTGTGGTTTGTGGAATATTTTCAAAAAATACATATTAAAGAACTCATACTTACAAAGACTGTTTTTCTAGATTGAAATTTGATCTGTGAATGCGTTTTTATAATTTTTAATTTTCTTATTAAAATAAATTTTTTCTCGTATTTTAGTATTTCGAAAATGGAAACTGAATTCTTTATGTAAGATAAATAGGATAAATTATTAAATATGCATTGAAACACAACAGAATTAAGTGTTTTAATTGTAAATAGTTCTCTCAAAATCAATTAAAATAATTATAATTAGATTTTTTATTTATAATAAATTTAAATACCTTTGAACATATGTTGCAATTTCATCTTGACCAAAAAACAAGAACATGTGGAAATAATCAAAATTAACATGTTTGACTGATAGTGCATGTATCATTTGTAAAGGACGATTTATCTGTCTTATGACCAATTTAATGACTAAATAATTATCATGCAACATCTCAAATGATACTAGCATCATTTTAAATAATTCATGATGATGTAATGTAAAGAAATATGTTTTATTTATCATAGCGTGTTAATTGACAGTAAACTTGAATCAAATTTACATCCGACAAGCTTATGAATTTACCTATTGACTGGATCATAACAAGAGTCAAAACAGGCTCTTATAGGACCCAACCCACTTTGAAAAGGGCAATGATCACCTTCTAATGCTGATGGAACCATCCATGGATTGTGATTAGAACAATGCACAATGTCATGTTATCTTTTGCATGCTTAAACGCATGAAGATTCGCTACACATCTCCTCTGGGAATACGATATAAAGTCAAAACAACGAAATGAGAATGTTGATTGAGTGAACAAGGTGATTATGTTGCAGACTCATATTTCAGGCTTATCTGATTCTCTAAAGTAATGTGCTTAACTGAGAATGAGTCGTTCCACTTGTTTCTCGGTTGGACCTTGTTCAACATATTTTTGACAGAATAAGGCGTAAAGTCTAAGATGGTATACTTCTTAAAGTTCTAGATTCGATAGTTGCTAGGCCATTAACAAGATGACTGAGCATTACAGTACTTTACTTTTCTCGCGGAAGTGAAGAAATTGTCATTTCTTATACCAAAAAAAAAGGAGTATTTTCTTACAAAGTGCTACAAGTATAGCTCTAAAAATAGTGTTTGGCGCAAATCTATCTATTACACAAGAAGTAAATGCCTATCCCGATATATTTATGTGGAGGTCAGAATTTGGTCTATTTGCCTAATAGCATATTACACATGCAGAGGACCTCAATTCAATGAGTCCACCAAACATTTATGTATCTTGCAAAATTTCAAATGGGTAGCTGAAATATTGTAGAAGATGTAAATGTTTTTGGAAAATCTCATACAGATGCAATACATCCTCGAAAAATGATTGTTTACATAACAGAAAAAATTTTCATCAATCAATCCTACTATTTGAACACTAAAACACCAATAACCTTTTACGACAAGCAATAATTTGTTTATCACAAAGATCATACCATCCCCATGAATTTTCATATTGATGAATTCAAGTAAAAACATGGCTAGACCCAATTGCATGCTATGTATTAGTTCATATTCAATAGAAAGAACCTAAAATAACAACTTACCATCATTTACGATGATTACTTTACTATCTATACAGTGAAATATTATTTATATACAAATGAAAGGAAACTCAAGAACTCTAGCGTGGAATAAGAGCCTTTGGGTAGATGAGCATAATTTACCTCGAATACCGTCGAGTTCTGGGCAGACTGCCAACATCTATTAAGCTGGTAGTAATCTTTTGTTTTCTTCACTATTAGTAAGCTGCAATTGACATAATCTCGTAGGGAATTGATCCTCCGTAGGATCCTCCTACGACATGGTCCCTGCATGGACGACTTCAAATCCACTGGCGCTTATCGAGTCAATGTGAAGGGGTGATTGCTGGCACGAAGACTTAGTGCACTATTCTTATCAGCGGATTCTTAGCAGAATCTAGTGCGACGTAGTCATTGTAGGGAAGACCTGAAATCCATTGGTGCTCCAACTCCATCTTTAAGTCAACGTGAAATGGTAACTGCAGGTACTAACACTTCGTGCACAATTCGATTCGGCAGAATTTCACTTCCTCCCTCGTTTACCACATATTGAAAAGATATTCTGACGTTCTCCGAGAGGAAACATACGTCGCCTCGATTCGACATATCGTCATTGCACGCGTGTCAGGGACACATGATGAACGCCGCTGTGGCAAGAGCCCACGGCAGACCGTCACGAGGTTCATTGTACTGACCGCTTTGCGGCACACTTTTATTTGATTCAATTGCATGAGCGGTGATATCACCAAACATTATTCGGTGTGTCCGAGGCAACTTTTGAGCGGCACTGAGGTCGATGGTTGCTGGACTCGGGTCGCTGCCCGGTCGCTGCAGCGCTAGCAGTCGGGCCTGGCATCTTTTCCAGCTCACGAACTACAGAAAAGTTAACGAATATTTCGTAATAATTACTATAGATCGGCCGACATAGAGTTTCAATCTGTCTCGACTTACCCTCAAACTTCGGGAGATTCCTCGAGAATGAATGAGAATAGTGTCGGCCAAGATAGCGAGGTCGAAACGCTGAAATTCATTCACAATATTACAGCTCCCCGGGCAGAGTCTGTGGGCAGGTAAACTGTACCCAGATCTAGAGAACAATATTTGAATAAAAGCGAGCAGTGAAAATAATTTTCGTTGCATGAAATTTTTTTTCCAGAGAAGCTTGATTTCCTGAAGCGTTTGTCAATAATAACCTTTAAATTCTACAGCCCTGCCCTACGAGGATTTGAGTCATTGGGTCTTCGTCGTTTTCTCGACATTCATTGCCCGCTGCCCCTCTCGATGAACATTTATGGATGGACATGTGTCGTTAGAAGCTGATCCAAAATTCGTTCGATCATTGATTCAGTGTGCGATAAATCTATGTAGCCTGCAAAATCGATGCCTAATTTATAAGAGTTCGAGCTTCTGGTCTTTCACTCTAGTCTGTCACAATCCTTAGAATCTCAGTACAGTACAGTGAATAGACACAGCCCGATTGGCTTAACCCGCCTTCGCCGTCCAAGATCAACCTCGATAAGTGTGGCCTTGTAATTGAACCTTTCAGCCGACGCGGACATGGGAAGAAGTCAAGCTTGTCCGTCTGTTCGGTGGTTTGTTCAGGTTCTCAGCTTCCGTTTAGCCAATTGTAAGCCAAAATTTCTTTGAAGTTTCTCGAGGGTGACGCCATGTTGCATCCATAGTTGGCGACCTCTAGAGTCCTGAACAGTGCGAGAGGTCCGTGATTTTTCTGAGGTTTTGAGGCCAAGAACAAGTGATGATTCCTTGAGACACTGCATTTATCGAAGTTTTCGAGCTCTTACTTAGCCTACGATCCAATCCTCCAAACTTTCGAGAGTAGAACGCAGTTCCTACAGCCTACTTCTCCAAGTCGTGGCCTCCCTGACAGAAAAAAATTCGCCCATACTTATCGTGGACACTCTTCGTGCCACCACTGGGGAAGATTTCAAGGAGGGGTCTCGAAGGGTACGATGAAGAAAGTTTAAGAGTTGGGGCATGAGGGAATATTTTTCCAGGTTTTGGGGGTTTGAGGAAGTGGAAACCTGTTCATATGACAAAGTTTACAGCAAAATCTTTCAGGATAGATGTAGGGCCCTTGAGCTGATGTGTCGAGAGCTGGAGCCGATGGCGGCTGGACATGCTCAGATTCCGGGTGACGTACACAAGAGTTGACTATCTGCATGAGGATAGCGTAGCTTTTAGGTTGTTGACACCGTGTTGAACAAACAGTGATCTATTGACATTATCGTATGCGTCTGCCTACGGTTGGTAAAATTTCTTTTCCTTGCGAACGCTTCTGAAGTTGACTCGGCTTACATGTCTGGATTTCTTTCACTGAATTGGTGATGAGACCCTTTTATTTAACCGTAAGTTCAGTCCAGAGCTGTGGAAGCTTGTTATCTGTAATGTCTGTGCTCTATGCAAGTCAGCAGGTTGTTCGTAAAGGCTTCCCTTCACTGAGATTCCACACCATCATGCCAGCACCTGAATTTTGAAGTTTCCTCTCGAGAATATTGAAAGAAAATGCCTCAATCGCACTTCGAATCGAGGGAGACTTTCCTTTTAGTGAATAATCAGCCGTCGAGATTGGCCTTCCTACCCGTGAGTGAGGGTGATCAATAGTTCGTGGCAACATCTACTCACTGGCCAGATCACTTATACAGAATGTAAATTTAAATATTCTCCAGCGTTCGTCAGATGTTCTTTGTGTTAAGTCTGCCTTGATAAAGATCCTCAATATTGCAAATCTTCTGCGAGCGATCAAGAGAAGACAAAGCGAGCCTGACCTGGACGTCCCTCTCTAGGCCTGATGGTGGTCATGACTCTCTCACAAGCCACTTGTAGAGCAGATCGCGCTCACTCCAGGTCTGTTATCGATGTACCTTCCCCATTTGTTTCTACGAAAAAGTCTTGAGCTGGAGTGACTTTACGCACTGATTTTACAGGTTTTATATTGGTATCTCTAGAGGAAGCCCACGTCGCACGGCAGAAATTGACTCTATTGGCACTTAAGGTGTTTGCGAGGAAAACCTGCTAACACCTGAAGTTCCATGTGCCCGTTCCTTCATCCGAGGATCTCACATGTTTTACAATCCATCTAAAGCGTTAAACTCCTCCTCAGACAATGAGCTGGAATTGAGTATCCGAGCCTTCAAATTGAACACTTTTCCCTTTCCAGTATAGAATATAAAATACTGATTTTTACCCATCAACAGGGACAATGCTGTTTAAACGATACCGTGACTTGTTCAATAATCTGTCCATTGAATAGGATTCAGATGTATTATATCAAAGAATTGGTCGGACAGGACATCCATGGACTCACGCGTGGGCCTGAATCCCCGGAGCACCTCAGAGGGCTGAAGAACGCCCAGCCTATATAAGCAGCCCTCGAAGCTTTATAATCTCAGTAGCCAGATGTGTCCGACTGTCCTGGCAGTAAGGCCCGAGGCGGGGTAACAAAGCGCTTACATGACAGTCCTCGCGTAATTCTCATCAAAGCACAGACTGGACTCGTGGGCTCTGGCTGCTGCCTACTTTGCAAAAACAAAATAGCTCCAATTCTTTACAAACTCGTCTACGCCAGAGTTTGCCGCTTTGTTTTGAGTGCTTTTCTGTCTTCCATTTCGTGGCCTTTCAATCTTCATTCATTCTAGTTCACCATAGAGTGTCGTGTTTTGATTAAATTTCCCTAGACATCCAAAAGCAAAAAATAGATTTCGCCTCGGGTCTTCTAACAAGTACGAGGTTTCCTGTCAGAAAAAGAGAGTAGGGGAAAAAGTTTTTTAGTAGCTAAGTTTCAGTGAGTCAGTCGTCACGGTTGCCAGTTTTTTTTTGACACTGGCAGCACTAGGACGGGAAAAAATCCAGACTTCGTCCTTCAGATTTCGACTACCAGCTGCTGATCGATCAGGATTCCAATCCAAGGTTCAGATTCTGATCAACTCGGTTTCAAAATCTTATATATCAAGATGGGGAGGAGCTGCAGAAGGACTGCGAGCTCGGCATTTCCACCCACATTCGCCAGGATTTGTCACATCGCCTTGCTGTTCGTGCTGTTGGCTCCCACCTGCGTCATACGGGCTCAAGACGGCCACTCAGTTTGCGGGAATCTATCGGCTTCACCAACACTAACACCATTCGTGGAACCATTACCCATTCTTCCAACCATAGACATCTCCACCGGCGTCCCGATAACTCTCGGTGCATACAAAATCTCTCAAGTACGTGCGAGATCGTCACTACTCTCATACACACATCCATTCTCTTCACTCTTACCGAATTCCTCATGATCTCGTCATCACGGCCCATTCATTAAATCGAAGTCTGGTTTGGTCTGGTTCCGATTGGTGGTGGGGTTTCTTCGTCTCCACGAGTCCATTCGGCCAAAATTGTCTCCTCAGTAGCCTCTTTTATGTTTTACGGTAGATCAGATTGGAGTGATCAGCGAGAGTGATAAGGAATCGAGGATGAGTGAGTCTGACATTGGACAATTGCTGCCATGTATCGTCCATCCACAGAGCGTCCATCCCGACCTCCCGAATACGACGTTCTACGGCTTTGGGACGAGCCCAGAGACGGCGACGTACCCAGGGCCGACGCTGGAGGCCCAGAAGGACGTGCGGTCGTACGTCCGCTTCGAGAACCACATCACTGACGCGGAGCACATCTTCGTGGTGGATCGGACGCTCCACCACGCCAACCCGGCGCGCGGCGGGGTTCCGATCAGCGTCCATCTGCACGGCGCCGACAGCGAGAGCAGGTACGACGGGCACCCGGAGGCCTGGCACACGGCTGCCGGCGACCGAGGCAAGGCCTTCGTCACGCTGGACAACGAGTACCCGAACGAACAGCCCGCCAGTCCGCTGTGGTACCACGACCACACCGTCGGCCTGACGCGACTGAACGTGGCCGCGGGGCTCGTCGGCCTCTACTTCATCCGGAGCAAGGCCGAGGAGCCGCCGTTCCTGCCCTGCGGTGAGTACGAGATACCGATGGTCCTCCAGGACAAGCAGTTCTTCCCCAACGGGTCCATCAATTTCCCGGACGTCGGGGTAGTTCCCGACATGTATCCGCAGTGGTGCCCGGACTACACCGGTGACACGATTCTCGTCAACGGCAAGGCGTGGCCGTATCTCGACGTGTACCGCGGTGTATACCGACTGCGCATCCTGAACGGGGCAAACTCGCGGTCTTTCACTCTGGCCTTCAGCGACCCCCGGATCAAGTTTCTCCAGATTGGCACGGACGGCGGCTACCTCTGGAAACCCGTCGAGCTGCAGAACATCACCCTCGCGCCGGCCTACCGCGTCGACGTGCTGGTGGACTTCCGGTCGGTACCCTGCGGCTCCAGCGTGTTCCTGAACAACTCTGCCGTGGACACCGTGCTGTCGAACGGTACCACGCCTACCACGAACAGCGTTATGAAGTTCAACGTGGTCGAGCGGCCGCCCGGGTCGCCGGACCAGTACGTGGAGATCCCGGAGTTCTTCGGGCCCGTGCCGAATGTGTCGGCTTTGGCCGCCGGGGCCGCGTACCGGAACGTGAACTTGACGGTCGTGGTGCCCCCCAAGGGCAACATCTCCTTCCTGCTGAGCGACAAGCACTGGGTCGAGCCGGCCACTGAGACCCCTCACATATACAGCACGGAGATCTGGGACATCTTCCACCTCATCTCGAGCGGGAGTCACCCCATCCACCTTCATCTCGTCAATTTCCTGGTGATGCACACGCAGGCCTACAACTTCACTCGATTCAACGCCAGCGAGTGCTCGCTTCTGCTGCCGTACACGGAGCCCAGCAGCTGCTTCCTCGGCCCTCCGCGGCCCCCGCAGCCGACCGAGATCGGATGGAAGGACACCATTATTGTGGAGCATGGCACCGTGATGAGGCTGCTCGTCCCGTTCACCACCAGGTCCGGTGCAAAGTACTCCTTCGATCCCACGACCTTTCCCGGATACGTGTGGCATTGCCACAATCTCGACCACGAGGACAACGACATGATGAGGCCGCTCTTGTTCCTGCCTCCCGTTTAGACTGACAATGTACTTACAGTACGTAGGATTCTGATAATGATCAATTGGAGATCATTTGATACTCCTTCAGCATTCATGGAGGATTATCTTCATTTGCGCGACTCCAGCTGCAGTCTAGAATCCCAAGCTGGATTCGGGATTTCTAGTAGGGAGGACGATGCAGAAAGGTTTAAACCTGGAGTAGGTTGATTGCTAGGTCCGCTTGCTGATACGTACACAGTGAATAGCCAATTAGTTCAGTTCACACCGATGGATTCGGAGGAATCGAGCCCGATTGATTGTATCTGGCGATGCGACTCATCGACGAGGCCTTAATTTCGAACTCCGTCCATTACTTTGCCTCGTGTATATAGAGACCACTGCCTTAATGCGGTGGATTTGAGGAACGCAACAATCATTGAACAGTTTGATCAACCCCAGTGAATGAACGAGAAACCTTGGAAAACATATCTCAGAGATCTCTCTGGTAGCAGTAGTCTAGTCTGAAGTTGTACAGGTATCTGGCCCTTAGCAAATTCTCGATGAATTTATTCTTCACAATTTAGCAATCTGAGCTCGGTTTGAGCAATCCTACCTTCCTTGGACTACTTGTCTTTCGTTGCCACGATTCTGACTGTCTGGTTTTGTTGTCAGAAGCCTGGACATATGAGTATGTGTGAGTTACCGTATCGGCCGGAAAGTTCGTGTAATGAACCACCACGACATTGCCCGCCAGTAGAGTGATAAAAGTCTCGTCCTGGGAGACTCTAGGGATGCCGACGGGCTAAACCCTCAGGCAATATTGAAGTTCTCTGCATTTTCCAGCACAGAGACACCAGCTTTAGTGCAGAAAATGCTCGCTGACCTTCAACGAGCCAACAAGTCAGGCGTGAATATAGTACGAGTATATTTGCTACAGAGAGACTTCGCATCCAGCTAAAACCAGCTGGCAGTTAGTAGAGGATGATCCAGAAGTCCGAGACTCTCCTCTACTAAATGTCTTAATGTGACGCACTGAAACATCGTTGGACATAGGCATTAACATTTCACGGCATGAGCTGATTGAGTGGATGAAAGTCCACAAGGCCCAGAAACGGCAGGTTCCCTTCGGATGAAAAAACAACTCGTCAAGGCGAGGACCATGTCAGGGCGTCGTTTCAGAGGTACATTTCCGAATCTATACTGATAATGAAAGCTATAAACTGTGCTCAATTGCTTTCATTGATAGAAATTACTCACAAGTATTCATTTATGAGTATTTTATATCACTGAAAATGTGGAATTTTTAGTAAATCTGCCTGAGTCATACTCAACCACTTTTATTTCTTTTATAAAATACTTGTATTTAGAAGAGCAGAATATGACGTTCTGCTGTAGCAACTGGAAATCCTGACTCAAAGAGGGGAGAGAGTTTTCTGTAACTCAGTGTGAACGACAACAAAAACACCCAATCAAATGACGTTATAGATCAGATGACGTTATTGATGACGAGATTACATTTCCAGCTGGGAAAAATTCGAATGTGATACTGCATTCACGTAAGATTTGGAATCCCAGTTAGCAGAGATTCTGTGTCTACGTGATAAGCAACTGGCCGTAAATGCTGAACGCGTTGCATGCCTTCGGAATTACTCTTTCAAGTGATAGATCACAAGGAGAATTCAACTTGTTATGATGATACTTATACCCTCGCTCAAATCTTGCCTCAGCAATGTCTAACAACTTTGGTTGCCAAACGTACTACGACTGGTCAACGAAATGATTTCCTTACCATTGATCCCTTCGTCCTGAACCTTTGGAATCCCAGTCTCCTCTTTTCGTTGATAACGTGACCATGTCCACGCGGCATTGTATTTGCCCAAAAGGTCCACGCGCAAACAGCATCACCAGATATGGAACAGCACTGTGTGATCCTCATGCTTTGCATAATCATGATAGGGGATTCTGAGGTAAGCCCTATTTCAGATTCCTGCAGAAGGAGCATGTTCGCATAATCTCTATCAGCCTACTCAGGTCAACTGTTGAATACTTGTTCTAATAGTTGTCACCGTTTTACTAGTTCAGATCCATCTTCCTGCTATACCTGTATTATTGTTGTGACGAAATATATTCTCATGCTATTTAGGTGCAGGACTCAAGGACTAGGGAAGAGTCAGCTTGGCTACGTTCTAGCGTGATACCAGTTTATTTTTAAAAAAATTGTAGGTTCTACTTCATAGTTAACCCAACAGACCTCAATTGCTACTATTCTGGACCTCAAACGTGCCCCCTTTTCCAATCGATTTCTCCTACAATGCTAAATTTCGTGCTCCGATTTAACTGCGTCCTTGTTCCTCAACTACAAGCAAGATCATCTTTAGTGTGTGACAAAGGTGTGTGATTTAACTGCGTCCTTGTTCCTTAACTACAAGCAAGATTTTCTTTAGTGTGTGACAAAGTAGTGTGAGTACCGCTACTTTGGGATTGAAGACACCGTACATTTGAAATAGTCTAACATTTCATCTAATCTGCAACCGAACACAGATAACCACGGAATTATAGACAGACGAATCTCGTCCAAAGCTAATTTTGAAAGGGCCGAGGCTCTAGATGAGCTTCCAGATGTTTGCTGGCTGTGAAATATCTGAACGTTATGCTTTCATACTATCACGGCAAGCCTCATCTGACTTGATTTCTCAAAAGGAATAACTGACTACCATTCGAATGATGTGTACCCTAAAGAGAAAACAGGCTGACAATAGTTTATCAAGTCGACCATGAAGAATCTTCATACAACATTTATTCGTACTCCTGGAGCTTACCAAGTTGTATGAGCATGTTCTGCTTGATATTTCTTATCCATGTAGTCTAGCACAAAATAAATGTCGTAACTATCGTATATTATCTCACGCTCTTGCCTGGATTTAAACGAAGCACTCCATATCAAAGGTCAGAGAATAATGCCAAAATTGCTGCAAACTTGGTAATTGTGAAAAGTTCTGTAACTATTTGCCCACACGATGAATTCTTCTTCTGATAAGGACAATACATTACGAAACTCGAGGTTTCCTCATCACTTTCATCTCACTTATAATCTGGTCGTCTAAGGGAAGGAAAGGAGAGAACTAGGGAGGTCTGAAACAAACAACATATCTGCCAAGCTATGTGTGCATCTTCGTTCATTAGATGCTAAGAGCATCGTGTAATGGAAACTCGTTGCTTTTTTCCAGCAATGATGTTTACACCTCACTCACCTATCTCTCTAGGATCTCCTTTATGTGAGCAATGAGAGAAAACCAACGGAAATCAATTCAAGGATGAATTAATCATCATTGGGAACGACCCTTATATCCAACATATAACGATCCAACTCTTGAAAGTTTCTGGTATAAGCAGGTTCAGTAATCTCATGAACATGTCTCAAAGTTTGACTAAATTACAAATTAAGGTTAGACAACAAGCAGTTTGCAATTCAAGAGCGACCTATTTCGTCAGCTAGAAATAAGGTGAATGAAAGGCTTGCATACTGGTAGTAATGCCATGCACTCACTGTATGGCAAGGTTGTATCGAGCACCATCATGTGGAGCATGAAGAAAACACTGATCCTCCCCTACAACTCAGTTACGATAGATTTGAACGTAGTGATAAAAAATGAATCGAGAAGTTTATATCAAGTGCTAAAAGCATTTACAATCAATCAACACTTGAACATTTTTTCTTGTGACGAAATATCTGTGAATTTGTAAACCGGTAAAAGAAAAACCTATGGTAAGCTCTCTGTATAAAGTACACCTATTCTATAAAGTACAAAGTACAAATAAGATGTACTTTATACGGAGGTTCTATTGTACATCAAAATCTCCATAGTTTTTTTGTAAGAATCATATGTGTCTTGTTAACTGTAATTATGTTTGGCTTCTAGTTAGGGTTCAGACTATATAGAGTTTGGCATCCTTTTGAGATAGTTTGAAGTGTTTTATAGTCTGTTCCAATCACCCAATTTAGAGTAGATTCCAGCACATATAACAGATGGAGCGCTATATGGATAGCTAGCGGTAGTGACGTATCTAAAAAGTGATGCGGGAGTCTTACTTCTTGATCCATTTTCCCACAAATGCTCCACCACCTTTGACGTAAAACGTCTTGTGTATCTCCAATCAGAAGCCAAACATTTGACCCAGGAGGTCTAGAGTGGAATGATATTTAATGCAGGACGACTGTTGCGAAGGCCAGATGATGAAAATCTACACCTGAGCATCATCTAAACTGCTTGTGGTCGGAGCATGCAAACATCCAAAATCTGGTTGTACAAACTCATTGTACCCCGCAATCAAGCTGTGGGTCTCGCTCAACTTTGGTTAAGGTTTAGTTGGAGTAATAGAAATGTAGCTTTCTGGATTATATTGGTAATGAATTGGTATATAAATGAATGATGTGCGGGTATAGAATCGAGTAATGATTCCTTCTCATTTCCCTTCATCCCAATGACCATGATTCTCATATGGGTGAAGACTCTTTACAACTGCGAAATCTACGTGTGTAGGTGATCATCCGTTACAGAGAAATAGCCTATTCCAATTGAAACCCATTATTGCTACAATCCAACCATGCTTTATTAATGATATGCTTGAGAATGTCCACTCCGTACGAGGTAAGGAACTGCAACGAGAATCACATTTCCCATGATTTTAAAGAAACCAGGTCCTGCATCCTTTATAAATTTGAACTCGAAGTTAAACTCGGATATTCTGTAAGAGATAAGGTAACTGAACGTCCACAAGCAATCCAACTGCCAAAGGATTCGTGACAAGTCAGAGCGTGTTTGCGCTTTACATTGTGCTGAGATCACAGCCAGCACAACGCAGTGTGTATCACAGTGAACATCAGCTAATCAACCTTGAGATGACACATCGCTTAATGCTGGGATGTGGATGATGTTTTCTGCATGTTCAACAGGTTCTAGGAGGGCAGCGAAGCACCCTCCTCGAATACCTTCGAATAGTAAGAATAAGATGGGAAGCATCGAGACAAAAGATGAGACATGCGGAACAAAAAAATTACTGGACAGTAGTGGTGATTACTGACACGATTGAATCAAACCTGTACCATCCACTGCATCTTTGAATACGAGGGAAATGTCTCCCAAGAGGAGATTATCTCCTCCATGCAGTCAGAAGCATGGTTGTGGTACAGTACTTGGGTAGTTCACATTTTTGAAAACAAATTGGTCTTATAACTCTCTTGGTCCAGCCAGAAAGAGTTTCTCTCATCTCAGCGAAACAGGACAAGTTTCAGCCCTTTACAGGAGAAATTATTCGAGACTGTTAGCTTCTAATACTTCCACTTTGTCTAGCATATGATGCTTGAAGCCTTCATTAATTGATACTTTGCGCTCTACTTTGCCCCTGTAATTCGGAGCTGGTATGGACTGCTGTAGTATGGATCAAAATTTATATAATAATCGGACATACAGTAATTCGGCACGTGGATAGTAATATCAGGCGCATAATAAATCTTCATATCGGATCACTTGCACGAGATAGGTGATGGAAGGTTGTGATTTCATTAGAACCTTATTGGCAGCAACAAATTTTCTTCTTTCCGCATTACAATCCTTGTTGGTTTCTGATCGTGGCAGCATCGAGATTTGTTGAAAAACTTTGTCAATATAAATGTTATCTCATGGCCCTGTTTTTCAACCTGTCCAGCAACTCGAGTAGCAACAGGGTCCACAAATGGTAGAAGTCAAAGTAAAGAAAGTACGGAATAAGAACTTCATTGGATGGCATAGTTAGAGGTTCAACTTAGAGAGAACGTTGAAGGCTTGTAGCAGAGATTGAGAGCCACCAAAAGGAGTTTGTGCGGCAAGGTTAAATGAGAAGTAGAGATTTGTGCTGAAGTGTTCGTGTACCCGTGTGATGCATTCGAAGTGAAGGAGCTTGCCACCTAAGGAATGTTGTGAAAACTTCTGGTACAAAGAAGGTCCCTAATCAGATTCACATGATTTGCGAATTTCTGAGCTTCATAGATCGTAGATTGCAGATGAACATTTAGGAGAAGCAATTGATTGTAGAAGAATTGCTCTCTTGTTCAAACACGGCTACTCCCTCATTGGAAACATAGCATGTTTATTTCCTGTACATTGTACAGTTGTTGAACCTTCATTATACAACAACAGATTATTTAGGGATATGTATCGAAATTCAACTTGGCCATCCCAACGTTACGATCAAAACGACTTCATCCCCACGTTTCAATAAAAATGATTTCATCATATTGAGACTTGCAACAAGACATACTGAACACTCTGCCCTCCAAAAGTAATCTTGATAGTTTAACGGAACACTGATTTCTTCAGAAACATAACTGCACCATTGATATCATTACATACATTATAAAAGGCTTGTAAAAGTGAAAACTATAAGGACGATAATGCAAAGGAGTATATTGCATGAGGGACTAAACATATGCTTGTCAATTGTATATTGACATTCTAACCTCTAGAAAATCCTAACACGTCAAACTTCTAGACCGAATACCTTGATTCATGCACTCCTCGCACACCCAAGCATGCCCACCAATTTGTTGTCTCACATATTTCACCTGAAACAACTTGAAGATTCTGGAATAATTACTTTGAAGCTGAGGCGCAAGAGTTTGTTGAATCCTCAACCATGCTTCTTTTAGGCGCTCGCTTTGCCCACCTTTTCGAATTGCCCTACCATCATCATTACTAATACCATCTAGTTTAACAACATCAGTTTTCAAGTCATCCCACTCCGGAATACCGTCGCCTAACCCAAGGGTCACATCGACTCCAGCTTTTAGAGCATAATACAGGACCTTGTATGAAATTTCGATAACTCGTGGTATCCATCCCATATTTTCCTGATCCACGCGCAACATCAAACCTTCTTGATTTTTCACGGAGTGAAACCCATTCACAGATTCACACATCAAGCGTAATCGAACAGTTGTTCCGAGATGCAAACTTGCACTCATCCTATAGAAAAGTCCAACATCGTCGGTGATGTAAGGTCGCTTCGGCATTCTGGAATGCTGAGGTAAATCAGAATACTCGATGACCCTGTCAACTTTAGACATGAAATCACTCCACGTTGACTGTACTTCTTGTTGCAGAGAGAGTATATGTCCCATCTTCATATCCAATCTCCGCACAATGCTCTCCAAACCATCAACCTTAGCTACTAGCTCATCGATCTTGGACAAAAGAAGTTGTGTTGAACAATTTTCCACACATGTGCTGGCACGTCTCAAGCACCTGGATGAAGCTGGATTGCAGTCTTGAGTCTGAGGTAACATCGAGCTGCTAGCCTTGTTCTCACTTTCAGGGTGAAATTGAGCCAAATCATCGTTCAACCCGACGAGGCCATGATGCAGTGACTTCAATTGTTGAATGCGCTTTTGTCGGATCTCACTCACAACCGCTTCCACATCGCTCTCCCACAGCAGATTCGTAGCCCGTTCGCATCTGACGGTCAATTGCCCTGGAAGCGGGGGCCAAGTGTGCTCATAGTGGAGCAAATCTTCCTCCACCAATTGCGAGCTATCCGACGCCATATCCCCAAGTTTGCGACTGATGCTATCAGAGAACTCTGATTTGAGTTCCTCAATCAGAATGGATACTCTGAGATGAATCGGAATCAACAATTCCACGCAAAACGTTTGTATCACACCGAGCACTAACACCACTCCGGGACAGCCTTTGGATGATGCACAGAATGATATCAACTCCTGGACAACATGCTTAAGCACGTACTGAATACCTACCTCCCTTGACTTATGCTCCGAGCATAACATCAGGACATCTACGTAATTGTGAGACTTTTCACTCTGAACGTGCTCGACGTATATTTGATGGCCATCAAGAAAAAATAGCAGATAATGGCGAGAGCAAGTCACAGTCTCCTTGGGAACATGCATCTCGGATATCAACTTCCGTCGCATGAACATCTACAATGATAGAAAATTTGTAAGATATTGAGTGAGACAGATTCATAATCAGCACATTCATAATGAAAAAAAAAATCTACTAAAACAAATTACAATGAGAACTTCACAAATTGAATATTTGCATAGTATATTTGCAATCATGATTTAACCTCACCTGGAAGCGTGGAAAAAAAGCAGCAGTTAGTGACATTGTTGTTCGATCTTTGCACTGTATCCGAATGCCAGCAAATTGTGGAGTCCCAAACCTAGAATCCCATGCCATAGATCCCGCGTGCGCCCCTGCTTGATGCTTCTGTTCATCCATGCTTGCATATTCACGGATGAAGGAGGGAATGAAATATTGAGAGGTATCTTCGAGCTTGAAACACAAATCTAAATTGAAAAGAATCTTTTCAAGGACCTCTCTTTCAACATTTTGAAGGCGTGGTTGCTTATCCAAGAACGTTTCTATCAATTGAGCAAAGACACTTTCACTCACAAATCCGTTCTTGCTCGTGTATGAGTCACGTGACATCGTTCTATCAAAAGCCTCGGACTCTTGAACTTGAAAGTCTTGACCCAGAGCTATAAGCTCACCCAAAAATGCATTTGTGAGCCAATTCGGATCTACAATGATGTGATCAACGTTTGGGATATAAATGATGGATCCAGCGTCATTCAAATAGGATATGACTGAGGTTAATATACTTGAATGATCAACAAAGTGAGCAGAAGTTGATGGAATGAATTGTTTGAAGCTGGGAGCACAGAAGTCATGAAACTTTTTGGAAGGCCAAAGTGGGCAAACTCTACTGTCTCTAGTGTTTGTAACCAGCAGGGAAGAGAGATGAAGACACAATTGAGGAACCCTCGGAGATTTTTCACTCAACAACTTCTCGAAGATGTCAAAAATACGATTTTTGAGAGGAATCACATGTTTCTTCTTCCGGGCATCTACAAGGAGACACTCTTGACTAGGACAGAGATCCACACACGTTGCAAATCTCTTTTTCAGTTCTTCCACTATAGAGTAAGCCCAAGCCAAAGAGCTGGATGTCATCTTATCCTTGTGTGAAATTACAACAAGAACTTGTGGAAGATTATGTCCAGTGATTTTGGTGCTGGAAGTGATGAAAATCAACCACTCCTCCAACTCAGTCTGGAAACTAGAGTATGCTTTGGGAGAATTAGTTTTCTCGCAAAAGGGACTATACACAAAAAGATAAACACAAAAATTATTGGTTTGAGGTAAAAGTATATTTTGAAGGGTACGAAAAATCCACTGTCCCGCAAAATCCCAAATTGAAATTTGCATTTTGTCATTGTTCTGCAAAAACTCCACTTCAATGCCCTTGGTCCTCCATAATTCACGCCATTTGTTCCCGAACCAGCTTTTGCCTTGAATTATCCGCATCAGTGTTTGACGCAGTTGAGTTTTGCCTGCACATTCGATGGATAAAGAGAACCACAATACATACAACTTGTTACTTATCATATCTTTACAGATCATTTCATAGACTGTGGATTAATTGGATTGAAGATACTTCCTAATGTCACAAGAAATTGTCTACAACAAAATAATTTTATGAATAAAAGCTGGTTTGATTTTTTATATCCGTTTTATTTATCAATATATCTGAATCAAAAAATAACTTCAATCTCAGTAGAAGCTTAGATTTCTAGTTTGCAAACGTTGAGAGAATAAAATGAAAACTGAATAGCAGCTTACCTGCTCTAGGAGAGCCGCATAAGAAGAGTCTACCAGCTTTTGCATCTCCAAATTTTAGGTTCGCTTCTCTAAACACGGACATGTAGACGGCCCGCTCCTGATTTTGCTTCAGGGCCTCTCCAATCAGCTCCCTCTTTCCGCACTGCAGACACATGGGAGTTGAGACATCTATCCTATGGAGAGTCAAGTTCACTTGAAGTAAACCCATCAGGTCCCTCAACTCCTCTTCGTTTACTGCTTCCTCTCTGTCTAGTGATTCTCTAAACAAACGCAACGTAGATAGGCTTGTGTTACTACGCAAGTAACAAAGCAGTTGCTTCCATATTCGCTTGAAAGTATCTTCGCTGATTCTTGTTAGCACTAGAACTTTCAGAACTGAAGTTTTTCCAGTACTTTCATTCATCGGAAGGATACTTTCTATTCTCTCTAAGTTGCTCCCCGAAGTGGAAATCCATGACGTATCTAGACGAAAGGAATTTATAGATTGGATTTCCCCGCGCATAACCCTGCCTAATAGGCTGAGTGCTGACATTAATTCATCCTCCTCCCGAACATGGATTTTAAGATGCAATACGGGGTCCTTGTCATCGGAACTAGCCGCACACGCAATCTCTTCTATTCGTTCAAGGGGGCCACAGAGTTGATCTATATAATTCTCTATATGGATAGTTGGGATTGTGACATTATCACGTATGGCCTTGCCAAGCACGCGACATTCCTCAGGACGCATCTCGATGGCGGAAAACGTAACTTCCCTCAATGATGGATAGGAAGTGAAAAGTTCTAGTATACAGTCCCCGATTCCAAACAGGCGACTCAGCCTAAGACATTCAATGGAAAGGTTGCCATCATCTCCGGCCAATGCGTTGAGCAACAAGACCGCCGCTCTCCCCTCCACCCCCTCTAAACTGAGTGTTTTCAGAGACGAGCTCTGGATCAAAGCCTGGGACAGGGCCCGAACGACACTCTCATCCATGTCGATCATGCGGTCGGACTGGCTCCCAAACCTCAAAATTTTTAACTGAGCAGCACTGCTTATCACGTCGGCGACATGCTTCAGCGCATTCATGTCCTCCCACGCGTTCCATACTCCTAGATTCTTGAGTTTCGATGCAGAATTTTCTCGCAGTCCTGATGCGAGATTTAAGAAACACCTGGCACTCAATGCGCAGTCTTCAAAATCCGCTGCACTACAGTTACCCAAAATCTTCCCGAGCTGTAAACACCATCTCTCCACTTCCGCAAGTGATGTCCACTTCAATCTTTCAGCTATCATACGATGTAAGGAGGTGCTAGACCTACAACCTCTGAAAACCAGCTCCCACTCGCTAGCGGTCAACCTCGAAATATCTCCGCCACAAATTTCTTCTACATCCAGAATATTGAACTCGGTGCAGCTGCTGATGGCCTCCAGCACTCGAAGGCGCACTTGGCTTCGCCACCCTATGTTCGTCGATAGCGATGCACGCTCCGGGAAAAATTCCTCCAATTCCGGGTTGATTAGACAGGGAAGCTGCATCATACCATCGGACTCCTTCCATACGCCATCCAGACGCCTCCCTTCCAGGCGCCTTATAAGGTCCTGGACAGCGGTGGGAAGCTCTGGTTTGTCGTCTGCAGAGGCCATTTCCCGTGTCCCAAGCCCAGCAGCTTGACTGTCCATGGACGCACCTGCACCTTCAATTGTGTCCTCCACTTTCAGAGAGGAATAACCGTGTGCTCCTGAACATGCACGGGGAAATGGTACCGAGCCTAAAAGAGGCCGTCTCCTCGATCTGCGATCCCCGGTTCACTCGAAGAAAACTTAACTTTCCGTAGCAGTGTCAGTGAGTGCATGTGCGTGCTCGGCATGAGACTCCTACCTCTGTGCAAGAGGTGCGACACAGAGTACTCCAAGCTCTGCTCAGACGAGGATGTAGCAATCACCACGAAAGCCCCAAGATTCTGCAAAGTGGAATCAGGAAGCTGCTTGAACTCAGTGGAGCGTACTGCAAGTTATGTGAATCAAAGTGAGCGGTGAATGCAAAATCCAGAACCTGGATTCTGGCTCTAAAGAATTACTAAAGAATATGCAAAGGGGACTTCACATCTCTCGATGATAAAAACTACCGTGTGCTAGAACGGAGAGAGGACCTACCTGAGTGTACAAGCTCATAGCTCTGCAGCTGAATCTGACTTCTACAAGACTAGTTCGTAGCAAAGATGGCGGGATCTCATGCAAAATGTCATGGAATTGATGGAATTTCAAATATTTCAAATATGAAGTACTCTGAAATCTGGATGAACATTGGAACTGGGAGAATGCGAATCTAGCTGCATCAAGAACCAAGTGAGAACAAACCCACGTACAATTGGTAGCGCGTGGGAATCAGATCTTGTCATGAATCGGTTGAGCGATAGAGGTAAGTACAACATGTGATCACAACAAGCGTGTCTTTCCATAGTCCGAGTGATTGGCGAATGGTCTTCGAAGGTGAGAGTAGAAATTGACTTCGTTGTGCAAGCGAACAAGAAACCTGAGTCAATGCATCAGTGTGATGATACACACGATGTCGTCACGCTGTAAACGGAGATGTCAAAGTTTATCTTCATGGAATCATATTTCTGAAAAATGTGATGTTTTCGAGCAAGTGGACAACTTAGTGGTCTGACAACTTATTGGCACATGCGTAGTCAGCTTGTCGACAAAACATGCTGAACCTTTTTTTTCTTGCTCTCAAGATGGGTAGATTAGTCTACATAACTCTACATAGCTCTTAGGTTCAGAACAAACTGATCATATTTCACTGCACACAATGTCGAAGAACCGTGTACACAATATATGAATCCTAGAGGTTCTCCACTGCTGGTATGATGGTTCTTCTAGCTCAACTGTCGAGCATCTGAGCACATGCGCAGCTATAATTCCAGAGTATGGAAATCTTTAGACCTCTAACATTAAATTGAAAGCTAACTTCGTCCGTGCTTAGAGATCTCTTGCTTGTTTATCACGTCGTAGAGTTGCATTGTGGCTAGACAAAGTTGAAAAAAAAATTTCCCTTCCATTCAACCTTCAAAAATTCACTCCCTATTTCCTCCTGTAGTCTATCGCCTGGTGCTCCTAGCTTTTTCATTACACCTTAATTTTAAGAGATCCTTTCTTAGGCTTGAATCTTATGCTACGAAGCTTGTACAATCAAGTGGTCATAAACATATTAGAGACTAAAGATTATAGCCTGACATGGAACAAAAAACTTGTCCGATCAGGGTTCCAAGATCACATACCCGACTGCATGCAACAAATTGCTAGATAAAGCTTCCATATTTAGTCACATGAGAATGGGTCGTGATCTCCCTCCCGACAATGTACGAGTTGTATCATGGTGATACAAGCGAGAAGGTTTTTTTTTTATCTTCCTCTTGGGTTTGTCCCTAATACAGGTATAGAAGGGTGAAATTCTCAGGAACCTTTATCCCTCTGGCTACAATCAGAGTGGGTCCTTCACTCCTCGTGCTTGTTATAACGCAGATTCCGCGTATTTGCAGGGACCCAGATTTTCACATACGTCAACATACAACACTTCTTAGAATTTTCTCCGAGGTGGACGTATTCCTATTAGGTACCCTACATTTTTAATTACATGGTGTCAGGGGAAATGATTGAATTTGCCAGCGGTGTTAAAGAAAGGCTTTAAATCTAGAATATGTAGGAATTGTTATATTTCGTAGTGACACTGCTATTAAAGAAGGAGATATTGTAAAGCGCACTGGATCTTTAGTGGATGTTCCTGTAGGAAAGGGCATGTTAGGTAGTATGGTTGATACTTTAGGAGTACCCATTGATGGAAAAGGTGCTTTAAGCGCTATAGAACGTAGCATTTTTGTAAGATATAGGTAGTTCATGTTGTCTTTTTCTTCTAATACTTTGTAAGCCGAAATCAGAGCGATGGAGTTAACCTCGGAGGGTGTTTCAGGTCCTTCGGGGACTAACCGCGTACAGTCCGTAGGTCTGGACTGTGTCGGGTCATTCCATTTGGTTGCATAGGTAAGCCCGGAGGCTTACTTCAATTCTGGTTCTCCGATCCTGCCTTGAGTGGCGAAAAGGCCCCATGGAATGATGGTCAGTATAAGATCTCAGCTTATCGTGTCATCAGCTGGGGGAGAGGTAATCCTGGGGCCTTTCGCGTGTCAGTCGGTGATTCTTTAATGAATACATCCGTTATGATATCGGGCAGCGCCTTTAGTATCAGAATGAAGAGGTTGATGGAAACTTCCATAAAGTTTTTGTTCGAAGTGAATTGCTGCTTTCTTCGCGTGTAAGCAGACGTGATATCCGATTGTATTTTCTTCATGATAGCACATCGATTGCATGAGGTACATAAAGTCAACCTTGTGATCCACACGAGTGGACAATAATACAACTGTGGAAAAGACTTACGATTCAGCAGTAGTGGACACATGCATATGGAATCTCACTCACTGTTCACAACAACTCTTGACAACTGTGAGCAACACTCTCTGAAAATTGATTCGCAAGCTTTACAGATTTTTCCATGTGAAACAACTTAAGTCGAAAAAAATAATATTTGAGAGCTTATTTTAGTCATATATTTCATTTCGTTTAGATAAAGCGCCCTAGCTAAACGTGGGACCCCACGTTAGCTAGGGCGATTTATCTTAACGAAACTTTCATATTACCACGTGGTAATATGACAATTAACAATCAATATTAACAATATCAGGTTTTTCATTTTGATTTGTATACATTTCAGTTTACCTACAATTTTCATTTTAGAATCATTTGTATTTTTATTACATTTAGAACTACTAACATTTTACAATTATTCAATGATATCACATATTATTAAATTTAAAAAAATGAAACACAGAAAAGAATAATTATTAATTAGATCAATCTCCATTCTATCAAATAGGTTTATAAAGGAGATAAAACGATAAATAGTTGTTATAAATGGGAACCGATGCAAGTGTTTTCGAGCTAGAGCGGCTACGACCTAGGTGACGCTAGATGTTAAGTTTAGACGTTAGACAAGAAGTTCGAGAGTCTCAGAATTTTTACATCGATGGAGGCTAAAAGTCCTTGTTTCTTGGGATTCCATCTCAAAGTGGTAAAGCAGAGTCTCCACACCGTAGATGTACATATGAGCCATTTTCAGGTGTTCGAGTGTAAAGAGAAAGAATTTTCCGCTCATTCATGATCCAAGTTTCGCTACGCGCTGGACTGAAACCACTTACGCGGAGTTGTAGGAATGGTGGAATGTTATTGGTGAAATTTTGGTGATTTTAGTTTCATAACATAATTGAACCATTTTCAAATCAAATATCTGTGTATACTAAAAGAGAAAAGTTGAACTTGAAAAGAAGATTGAAAATCCATGATGATTGTAAAGGACAGAAGATTGTAAAGAATATTGTTTTGCTAAGAAGGATAAAGTTTTTGAGATTGTATGACATGATTACGTTTTAAAAGTGTATCAAGAAATTTTTCTTAAATTTCATTTGCAACATCCTTTTTACAACGTTGTTGCAACAACGTTGTAATAGCAACAAAAAACAGCATCATCATCGTACATAAAACTACTTTCAGAACATCAGTTTTTAGGGTTTAGAACAATATCTTGGATTCTTCATATTAGTTGTGGTCACAAGTATCCAAGACCGCTTTCACAACGCATGAGCATCCGTCATAGAGCACTTTTCTTGTATTCTTTGTGTTCACAATGTCCAAACTTTCTTTATATTTTTGTTTCAACAATATAACATATTAAAATATTATTTTATCTCTATTGTTATTGAAATATGCAAGCAATATATGGATATGGTTCTCTAAGCTACTCTAAATATCTCAAAGTTTAAGTTATATGGCAGAGGCCAAACCTAAAGTGGCAGCAAAATTTTAGCGCGTAGAGTATGAAGTATCTTGTTAACTTACTAATATAATCACAATATGATAAAAACATAATTTTTATGAATTCACATAATTATTGTATGAGACAACTAAATAAGTTATCAATCGAATGCATGAAGATTAATTTCTTTCAACCTGAATTTTAAGATTGTTGGATTGATAACAAATTTTTAGATTTAACACTCTTGGATTGAAAATTTCACAACAACATTCCATTACTGAGTTTAAAATGTGATGAGATGAAAAAAAATCCCCTTCTTTATTCTCTAACTTCAAAATTACTATAAAAATATATTTTTGTCATTTTTGTAGGTGGATATTTTGTGTCTAATTTGAATCTCAATTTGAACTTTTTAACTTTCAAAAGTTGTAAATTTTGTGTGAAATTCACATATATGTTGAATAAATATCAGTAAAGGATACATTGTATGATTTATTACATACAGTAGTTTTGAAGAAATTTCCCACACGTCATTACACACATAATTTTCTTGAAACTATCAAATCCAACATCAAAGTATTAAGTATGATGCTTGCTTATAACATTATGTTCACAAACTTTAAATCAACTTAACCTATATGAAATAACACTATTTTATTACCAATAAGTATTAACGATACATTACTCATGTGTAGGCATAGTTATATTAGTCGTTTTCCTAAATTAGCTTAATTTAGTCGCATAAAAAAAGTTAATTTATGCTAATCTAGACGCTTTTATGCTAAAAGCTGCCTTGAGTGCACTTGAAAGCAAGTGAGAGGTTTCGAGGTAGAGATAGTCATCATCACGCGGGACTTGCATTCGTGTTGTAAAGCTCATGAGCTGATTAAAAAAGATTACAAACTCCGAATTACGACCTCGGTGAGCTATGAGACTGATGTGCTTACAAATTGATTAACAATCATCATAACTGAATGGCTGAAATCTTCCATGGTCCAATTCTGAACCAATTGCAGTCTAGAATCTAGTTTGTAATTGTAATCTAGACTAAATTAACCGAAGCAATGCTCCAATTAATTTAGGCACGAGAGTTAACGTCAATAAAGATAATTTAGGTGCCTTGGTATATAGTCACCTATAATAACCATGCTTGTTCATGTGTCATAGTCTACAATGATATATGACTCATTTCAACTCAAGATTTAGTAAAGTTTTCTTCATCACATTTAATTATGTTCCTAGCCTGTATACATTATTGTGATTTTGACAGTTTAACATAACACATCTTTTTTAAAACTTTTACTTTCACACCTTCTACACCTAACACATCAAAAATATCAAATTTTGTTACAAATTGTATAAAAATTTGGCTTGATAAAATGTACGTAGTATTAGATAAAATATTTGGATCTTAATAATTCCAAAGTTATGAATCT